GAATTCCGCTTCTATAACGACAGACTGAAGACATTGTCGCTTTTTAATTTCCGGAGAAATTACCTACGAAGTTGGAGTAGTTCAGTTTATTCAAGGTCTATAGGCTCAGACCGAGAATTTTATACATGAATATTTGGGCCAAAGTCCATCAGTCTATACTACTAGCTGCCTGTCGGCGGTTAATGAATATTACGCGGTTACCCGCTGTGGCTGATGGACTTTGGCCCAAATATTCATGTATAAAATTCTCCGTCTGAGCCTATAGACCTTGAATAAACTGAACTACTCCAACTTCGTAGATAATTTCTCAGGAAATTAAAAAGCGACAATTTCTAAATTGGAGTATCTACCAGAAAACGCATGGGGAATGCTGGGGGACCCACTGACGAGTCGAACCCCTCGCAGCTGCGCCATGCAGCGGCAAAACATCGGCGAAACACGCGTGTATGGGCTTTTGGCTAGTACCTGTGCTGTTAGTATGGTATCACCTTACCCTAAAGATTGCAGAAAGCCGAACAAAGATTTTCGGTTCATCGAAGGTCGGTATGCCACAGCGTCCAAGAGTCCCATGTTTGCCGTTAGCACGGCTACACCTAGGTAATATTCTGAACTGCAGAGCAAATTTAGGAGATCTCGGTCCGTGTGAAAGAAAAAATTTCGGCGTGATCTGTACTTGTAAGACGATAAATCTAAAAACCTGCCTTCGAAGGACAGCGTCCTCCTGCTCAGCGACGAATTCCAGTGCCATGGGCGCGTAACGGGAGCCACTCTAGCAATCAACGCAGGAAACACGGGACAGGCTGGGGGCAAGATAATTAGGGCAGGAAGATTTGCGCCAATTCGCCCTCCTTTCACTTTTCGTTCCAGCCCCTCTCTGGTTTGCCCATTTGGGGGGGTGGGGAGGGGAGGGGGCTTGACGCTACTCGAACAAACACGTGCGTCGTTGTGGCGCGGACCGGCAGCTGGTCTGCAAAATGACATCCCAGCGCGGCGCACCAGAAGCTACCTGGGTGGTCTTCACGTGTTCAAGGCAGGAAATGTGACGACAACACGGACCACTTCATCACGTCCTGCTGACCCACAGCTCCCCCCCCCACCGCCAAACTTCAATTCGGAGCAGACCCACTGTGTGAAAGACCGCGCAGCCGAACCGGCGTAATCTAAAGTGTGTCCTCGTGGCAGCCTGCGTTCAGTGTTTTTTCTGTGGCTGAAAAAGTCTACAGGCCAGACGGCGTACGTATGTGCTCGGGGGGTATGAGAGTGAGAACAGGAGGCTTCATGATTAAAAAAAACAGGTATGGGTTGTGAATATGTAGCAAGCCAACGGGGGGAGGGGGAGAAGCCCTCCGGCTGGACATGAGTAAGTCAGGGAGACGGTTGACCATTCGCCACAAACCCACATCCCCAGCGCGTCGGTAGCAGTGGCAGGTAGATGCAAACACAAATTAGTGAAAATTTCGGTATGGAAGACAACTGAAGATCACACAGACAGCCTCTGAGAGGCAGCAGACCAGCTGACCGTTTTCCCTATCTGCGGAAAGCGGTGGTTACCATGAAGAATCAGACAAGGTTAGTAATCGTATGGTGCTATCCCTGAGGCATCCAAAGGTGCTAGAATTCACTTATTGTGGGGAAGAGAACGAAGACGATAACACCTGACTGGGTTGCCTCGTCAACCGAGGGGACTGATTATGCAGTGTATTTGTGTCAACGGCTGACTTCGCAGCCCGCAGTAATGACATTCAAGGTGGTCAAGCTCAATTACTTCATGATTGAAGTTGCTACGGTTTGTGCATTCTTAAGACAATACTGAATATGCCTGTGATTGCCCAGACGGACGTTAGTGATTACACTCACGATGAGGTTGGCAGATGCCCCGGTTAGTAGACGTAAAGATGGTGTCGTGGATTGTTGCGCTGTTACTGTGGATATTTGCGACAGGAGGTTATTACAGTCAGTGACTATACGGAACAGAACATCCAGCCTAATTCACGAGGGGAGAAAGTGACGGTTCCCTGGTTTTTCATGAGAATACTGAATCCTGCAATCGAATACCTTCGTAAGATAAAGTCTGGGAGTAAGGAGGCGAGGTTGCGTGCAAGATGGATGGGAATTCTGATGTTAGCGGAAGCCCACAGATTCGCAAGCGCTCCATCGCAGATGGGCTCAGCTATAAAAACACAACACCCCACCCTTCCACAGGCACAGGAAAAGCACCCACAGACGCCCCCCACAATGGGCCAAAATGAGGGCCAAGTCAGGGCACGGTAGGCGTTATTGGGGAGCACACCCATAACAACTACCACACGGGGGGGGGTGTGGTAGCACGCCTAGGCTCGGGTTCGCGCTGCCTCAGACATCTGCGTCAGGTTTAGCCGCCAGTCTTCCTGACTTTGTTATGACACAGGGCTCGGGTGGGTGAGGAGGAGAGAGTGCGGTAGATGCAGAACAGGTTCACCACAACTGTAAGCCAACTCATGGGCAAGTCACCGTCCCTGAGCTCACCATGTTTTGGGGCGCATGATGGGCATCGACGGTCAAACTGTCGTATGCTTCGGTATGCAATGACTCACACAGTCTTGAGCAAACCAGTATCGGTTCCAGAAAAACACCACAACCAGTACGCATACGGCCAAGTGCCAGGCAACTGGGAACAAAAGTTGCATTGATATCTACCAGACTGTGCTCCAAAAAATTGAAGACTGACTGTGACAACAAACACCCACCACGAATAAATAAAGAGTATGGAAGAATCCGAAGACATTTACGATCCTGTTTCTGTTATAGATATTAAATCTTCCGTAGGATTCAATAATGTGGTCATAACTTCCAAAAAGAAACCAAGTGCCCCATTATAGGACAGGAAAAAGAGACTTGGTAGGGCATATGAATAGGAACCCCCCCCCCGAAATACAGGCGACTTTGGGCTAAATTCCAGGGAGATTAAATTAGATTAAGGATGGGGTTAGTGTTAGGGATGCAGAAATAGGTACGTTTGTAAACCCACAGGTACTGGCAATTAACCGGCGCAAGAGGACATATAACGCAGCGTTAGACAGCAACATGCCGGAAATAGCCTGGAACACAACCTCGAAGGTCAGGAAGATGTCTAGCGAGGAGGATACTAAAATTGCACAAACTTACGTATGCCGAAATAGGTGCCAAGCCCAATCATGTCTCGGTGGCCAGAGAAATCAAGGGCGCACAAGTTTACCCTAGGCACAGTTCGCAACAAAGAAGCATTTTTGTATTGCCAAAGACGCATTTAAAATAATTTTTAGGAGGAAACGGTGAGACCGAAGTATAATATTAAAGCTCATGAGACATGTACTCGATAAAAAATCCTGGGTGACGAGCGAGCAGAAAATTGTCTCAAAGCTAAATCTGACTCGCCGAGAGAGTTGGAGGCCAAAGAAAATGAATTATATGAACAGCCCACAAGACAGAACCTGGCAGTCAAGTAGACAGAACACGGCGGGAGTTCGAAAAGGTAGGTTTACTGCCGTCTTAGGGCATATGGCTTTGGTAGTGCAAGTTTGGTATTTCCACAGTAAAGTAAAAATAAATGCTACTTGCTACAAATAGGTACCATATGGCGTTCTATATAACTAAGTAGAGATACAGATGTGGCTTAAAGTGTTATTTGCTATATTTCAGGTATACCGACGTCTTTCGAACGCATCTAGGACGTGCTTTACAGACATCCCCATATAGTTTCAATTTTTTTTGTGAGACAGTTTCGCCAATGGAAGAGAAGAAATGCCAATTGTTCATTTCGACAAATATTCAGACGACAGTGTGCTTAAGTCCTCCAGAAGCAGTTGCATTTCTTCTGGCCTCCATTGCATCCTTTAGTCCCATCTAGTTGCTCATTTCTCAGAGGAATGTCAAAGATCCTTCTCTCTTTTTACAAACTTAATATTGAACTTAGGAGATGTCTCCGCTGAGTTCCCTGATGCACTGAGGCTTAACGCCGCTGACAATAACCAATAGTTACTGTTTGCCGTTCCTAAATAAGTCGATGATTGAGATCTTTCAGATGTCCAAGTGCAGTGCGTTCTTAAGTTGGCGACCCAACCGGAGTAAAACGATAAAACAATCCCGTCCCATCAATATCATAGTTGCCATACGCACCAAAATTCTTCAACAATTCCAGAAGATTTTAATGTTCTGCGGCTTTATTATAAATGCTCTCCTCTTTGCCGATTTCTCTTCCAACTTTTGAATTTTGTCTGAATTTCCATCAGGACAGTCAACCTGGTTTTTGAGGTTCATATGACCCTGTATTTCCACCAAATCGCCTGATTTGTCCCTCAGAAAATTAGCCCACTGACAAGCCTCCTCGTACTGGTGCGATGAGTGAGAGCTTTCTCAACGCGCGGCTCCCCCTTTCCACGGTTCAACGTTTGCTCTACTCCCTGGCATTCCTCATGCACCGCTTGTTTATTCTGTTGTGTAATCATAAAGCCTGGTCCAGCTCTCAGCCAGGAAGCCGTAACAACCGTTAGGATGCAGGTCTTGAATGTGGTCAAATAGTGATTTTACTGGTTGTTGCATCTTTACAGCGATTGGGGTGAATACGCGACCGCAAGAACAAAGGTTAGCCGAAGCCAGTCAGAGAACACCAAGTTGTTGACAGGTGTCAAAGCTGCCCTTCTAGGTTCCCATCGCGATGCAATTGTCCCCTCTCCCGGCAGCCCTCAGTCACCAGGATGATATATCAGAACCTGCAGCCGCAGCAACGTCGGTAGCCCGTTGACCTGCTTGCGTAAGCGTACAGGCCACTTTCCGATCAGCAGACCCTCTCCTTGGAGGCCACTGTTTAAGCTTTACCGCGCCAAATTCTGACCCGAGACAATCGTCAGGTCAAGTTAATAGAGCATAGTTTAGGTAATGCATATTTTTGATCTCTCTTCCCGAAAATTTGGCCAGAACAAGCGTCTGACCCATCTAATCAGAGTTCCCAGCAAAAATGCAATCAAAAAATACTTCAAAAAGTGTTAAACTGATATATTATACAAACCGGTGGTGGTATTTGTGTGGCTGCAGTCTACTTGGGCCTTCAGGACGTCAGGTCGGTCGCTGGAGTTGCAACTCATTCCCGGTAGCTTCAGAACATGATTGACAAAAGGGGTGCTTTGGATGGTAACTACCTAAAATAAACATGGTAAAATATAAGAGCTACTTGTAACAAGCGGTAGGGGATATAATGTTGGAATAAATGAAAGTATATTCACACGAAAGTCCAAAAAGGCTGACCTTCAGGTGAGTTTTCCTCTTGAAACTCGGCGGTGCCACAGCGACCTCACGTTCAACGTGCTCCACACACTCACCGCGTTTGCCATATTTTAGGCAGATTTTTCGTACTGCCGTCAAGCGATAATTGCCCGGCCATTGGATTCGAGCAACGTCAATTGAGAGGTGGGCAGTCTGTCCGCGCGAGGGACCAGGATCTTCGAGTTTCTGTAAAAACGCCAAGGATGCAGAGACAATTACCAGCACAGGACACTTCTCTTCAAGCTAAATTTATCAGCGAAAAGGCGACGGCGCTAACTTGAGGAAATCCATAGGTGCCGACAGGAACAAGGGAAGGCGTGCAGGACCGAGTACGACAATGAGCCTGGTTACCGACGGGTATCTGGGCATTGACGATGTCATAGACGGAGCCCACTCGATCGCCCTGACTGTTGAATTGTACGTGACCCGTTCGGCCATCTTCAAGCGTCAAACTGACCATAGTTCTACAATGATGACAGGAATAAGAACTCAACAGAGACATTGGAGGTCTTTTAACAGGTCAGAAAAGAGGAAACTTGTAAAAAAACTGACAAACACTTTATACAGGCCGCTACAACTTTATGTGGCCGGAAAGATTTGCAAATTCTTGGAGTGAATAACTGAGGGCCTACAAAAACATTTAGGAGTGAGTGTTATATGGTGGTAGTAAGCCAACGCAGGTTTTCAAACGAAATACAAGCCCTTCTGCGTCACACTGAAAAAAAGATAAGATGTGATGGAGTTCCGAGTTTCATGTTAGTATAGTTTACTGACGTCTACTTGGAAGGCTTGTATAGCTGGAGTGACAGCCATTACCGTTAATAACTCTATCACAGGCCTGCGATAGCTTCGCGGAAGAACAGAGCGTTCACCCGATTGCCCAATGAGTAGCCACACGAGGCTAAAGAATTTCAGGATATTAAACGCTACTAAAACATAGGTAGTAACACGCATTCATTAAATGTAATAATTTCGCTGCCGCGACTCAAAAATGGATGAAACAGTGCCAACTATTTTAGTCTCCTGCGGTCGCCCTCCACATATCGCCACTATCTCCAATACGTGCGGATCTACGCCCAGTGGTGGCAGGTTGGTCTGTGTCTGCGCTGAACTTCCTGGTTATGTTTCTTAAACCCTGCTGTGGTGGGGTGTCTAGCTCCTTGAGTACCCTAGCTTACTACCTTTCCCCCCAGCACGGGCGCCCTTTAAGAGCGTGGGCTAGGTTGCTGGGCCTTATCGAAGTGGCAGGACTAGGAATACTGTGAACCCTCCTCCATCGTGGAAGCTGCGTTCCAGATCCCCCTCCCGCGGAAAGTAGAAATCTGCGAAGCAAAAACCACGTGTTTTATGGTTATTTTTTATATATTTTAAGCCCTGATGGACTTCCCCACATTCTTACAAACATTGCTCACACAGTCATACAGCATAAACTCCACAGTTTTCTTATATACTAGGTAAGATCCGTTGAACTTGTGTACCTAAACACGATGTTTTTTATATTACGCACAAGCATTACGTATCGTATACCACTGAGGAGTTATGTTTAGTGCATAATACAGTTTTTAATATATGATAGTAATACATGTTTTAAAAAAATATAGCCAGTAGCGTTCCATACATGAAATTAACTGGGCAAACCAACTGAAGAAGCGTGTACCAGAAATAAAAAGACCCACTGCCCGCAGAAATCCGCGAATCAGCAAAAAAGCCGCAACATATAACTAGTTATGCTTGTATATAAAATTCCTAATAGAGTGAAGTCAGAAAAGTCAGAGTGTGATATAGCGAGAAATCACTGTAGGGGAGACTCAGAAGGTAGCTTCAGGAGACACAAACACCATGGCACTACCTGTTAACGCACTCGAGTCGCCTTCCTCAATGCAATAATAAGGCCAACCGATACACGGTGATCGGAGTGCAGTTGAAACAGTAGGTGTTGCAGCACGCGCTGGTCCAGAAGTACCCAACCAGCAACTGCGCCAAGTCACTACTCCGTTGTTCCGTTGCTAGTATCACTACCGAAAGACGATGGAAATCAAAAGCATTCTTTCCTAACTGCTATCGATTCGACAGGAATTTAATTTAGTATGATACTTGAAGCATTTTTTCCCCGGTATGAATTGAAAACAAGCATGTAGAGCAGAATTTATTGGGGCCAACAAATTTCGTGACGGCTTTTCAACTGCAACCCGTCTCTGCATAACATAGGTAACGAATGAAAACCGAGAGGTACACATATCCCAGACTATATGGTCTACCAAAAACGCATAAAAAGGACACACCTTTACGACCAATTCTTTCTATGTCTAATTCACCTACACACAGACTAGCAAAATGGCTTGTCAAGGAGCTAGAACCAATTCGGCAATTGTTTTCCACCTACACGATAAAAGACAGTCTTTATTTCATTGAAGAAATTAAGGACCAGAACATCGCCGACAAGTGTATGATCTCTTTAGACGTTGAATCCTTATTTACCAATGTACCATTGGTTGAAACAATAGATGTTATATGCGCCCATGCGTCCAAAACCCGACTCTCCCCCGAACTACTACGAGATCTGTTGGTACTTTGCACCAAAGATGTTCAATTTCTGTTTAATGGGGAACTTTACAGACAAATTGACGGAGTCGCAATGGGTAGTCCACTTGGGCCAACCCTCGCCGATGTTTTTATGGGTTACCTAGAAGATAAGGTGCCCTCAGAATTAAACATGACAACATTATACAGGAGATACGTGGATGATATATTCACGATTGTTGATAACAAGGAAGACGCCTCCGACCTACTTTGCCTGATGAATAATCTGCATCCTAAAATAAAATTTACGATGGAAATGGAGCAGTTTAACAAGTTACCCTTCCTGGATGTCCTCATGTTTAGAGAGGATGATGGTTCAATAAGACGCTCCGTCTTCCACAAGACTACGTGGAAAGGGCAATACCTACATTTTAAAAGCTTTGTGCCAATACAATGGAAGCGTAATCTAGTACATACTCTTTTTCAAAGAGCGAGAAATATTTGCTCCAGGGAGACCATAGATATAGAAAATGCCCGTATCAAAGAAGCCTTACTTAATCGTGGTTATCCTGCACGCTTCATTCAGAAGTACAGCAACCATTTACGGCCAAAGTTAACGGAACAGTCCGTTCCGAAGAAGCCCGTTATAATATGTCTACCTTTTAAGGGTGACAACGTCTCAAACACAATCAAGCGACGCTTGCGTTGCTTTATAGAAAGAACGTACAACGCAGCAGAGCTTATCTTCATCAGTTCCACAAAAAGCCTTCCAATTAACCGGGCAAAGGATGCCTTGCCAATGCACGCCACCCCCAATTGTGTGTATGAATTCACATGCACTTGCGGATGCAAGTACATTGGGCGAACGCAAAGGCAATTGGCAACCAGGGCCGCTGAGCATTTGCCTAATTGGCTTTTCAAACAGGAAAATAGAACCCCCGTTCGTCTATAACGAAACACCTGTTAGACAGCGGTCATGTTGTCGACCCTAAAGCATCCTTTCGAGTACTTGTCCGAGCACGTACAACTCGAACCTTGCGTTATTTGGAAGCAGCCTACATACGGAGGGAGAAACCAGACCTGTGCAAGCAGTTAGATCACGTGATCAATCTGCAATTGCCCTGGTAATCTCACGCCTCTATTTTCCTCTAACTGTGATTTGTTGTTAACATTTCGTCTTCCCTTTTTTCGTTTTTGATGCTTATGTGGACGTCTTATCTGATTATTGATTATTTTGAACTTTGACCTTGCTCCTATGCATTGCCATTGTGTACAAATTCATACTGCTGTGCGCTTTCATTCGTTACCTATGTTATGCAGAGACGGGTTGCAGTTGAAAAGCCGTCACGAAATTTGTTGGCCCCAATAAATTCTGCTGTACATGCTTGTTTTCAATTAGTATGATACCTTAAAAATCACGAAGAGAAAGGCCGCTAGGGGAAGAGAGAGGCAAGATGCGTTGGCCTTTTTGTATCGCGATTCTGGCTCACATGGGTGTGGCTTTCACCTATATACCATGACTGTCGGCAGAATAGGAACGTTCGGTCTCACATTGTCTACGATAAATCACACGGCAGTGGCACAAATTGATCTACCCTAACTGTAGGACGAAAATTGGCTTTTCTGTCATGCCTTGGAGCTGCATGAGGAAAGCAGGTTATCCAGAAGTAGTCATTCTACTGTCCCCGTCATTGTCGACAAAACCTCTCAAATGCGAAAAGCTTGTATGGTGGAACCAGAATGTGTGCAGAATGCGAAAGCAGATCAGAATGCCTCGTCAGCCACCACGATGGTGGCGAATGGCAAAACCAATAAAACGTGTTGATCGAAGCTCAGATGGTCAGTCCGAAGTATCTTAAACGCTGTGCTTTTGTTCATCAGCTAGACGCAGGGTGTGTTTCTAAATTATTTTTTGGAAGAAAACGTCCACAATTTTGGGCGGAACTCAGTTTAACCTTATAGTTGGGTAATTTCCTGGGTTAATAATTGTAATTGGCCATATCTGCGCATTGCTGCGTCTTCTTCTAATAGAGGGCACTGATCCGAAAGAGAAAAAAGATTTATCAAAACATCCTTCGTCAACTTGAAACTTGAATTTAAACTCTGTGTGGATAAAAGGAGGCAAATTGAGGAGGCGCGCTATTTTCATAAAAAAGGAAAATTTTGTCCTTCTTAAAAATTCCGATTGGAGAATTTGCTTAGATATGTGTCACAAAAAGTGACATAATGTCAGCAGGCGGTCCTTCGTCTTAACACACCCCTAATTTCTGGGTATATGTAAATATACGGCTGGGGCGGGAATGTGGTCACCCCGTGCTACAGGCAGCCTTATCCAGTGGGTTAGGAAAATATTTATGAGGGTCAGTGTTAGGGTTTGAAGTTAGGACACGGAAATAGGAACCCCCTGGAATTTGGCCCGAGCTCACTTGTAGTACTAGGGGGGGGGGGGTTCGTATTCCCGTATTCGACCAAACACTCAATAAGTACTCAGTAAAAGATTCGTCACAAAGTGGCCATTTAGACTTATATGTGGGATAATTCTGCGCAATCCAGCTCCTTTTAAAAAGGATTCTAAGAACACACAGTGAAAGCATTTGCTATCTATGATACATTTTGACATTGATATGGTTGCTCCATGATGTATTTATGGTAGTAGAATGGCGCCTAAAAGTAAACAAAGACACCGACAATGGTTGGACCATGAAGAGAAATCGAAAACCTTTCGCATCCAGCAGAAAAATTACAGTATCTATCGGGGAAGTTCATGAGCTGGCGAAATGTTCCAATTTTTTTCCCGGACTTTAGTTTGCAAAAAAACAGATGAAGAACGGGGTGCATTCATCAGAAAAATATCCTAGTAGAACACCTTCAAAGAGGCAACTAGTTGGAGGTTTTCCAATTGGTCGGGCGCATGATTATCACAGGCCGCAAAGACTAGGT